GACAGACAGAGATCACAATTAGGCAGAGAGGCAGGCAGAGAGAGAGGAGGAAGCAGGCTCCCTGCTGAGCAGAAAGCCCGATGCAAGGCTCGATCCCAGGACCCCGGATCATGATCTGAGCCGAAGGCAGAGGCTTTAACCCACTGAGCCACCCAGGCGCCCCTGGGTCATGAGTTTAAGCCCCATGGTGGGCTCCAGGCTTGGTGGGGCGCCTTGGTGGGTGCCTCAGTGGGTTAAAGCCTCTGCCTTCAGCTCAGGTCATGATCCCAGGATCCTGGGATTGAGCGCCGCATTGGGCTCTCTTCTCAGCGGGGAGCCTGTTTCCCCCCCCTCTTTCTGCCTACTTGTGATTTCTGTCTGTCGAATGAATAAAATCTTAAAAAAAAAAATGGTAGGGAAGATGTGAAATATGTGGAATTCTTATCAACTGCTTCTGTGGGTGTAAACTGGTACCATCACATTGGAAAGTAATTTCACAATATCAGGTAAAATTAAAAATACAGATAGCCCATGACCTAGCAAATTCCACGTCTAGGTATATATCCTAGAAATATCCCCACCCATGTACAAGAGACATGTCCAAGAATGATCACTGCAACCTTGTTTGCCTGAGCAAAATTTCAGAAGCCAGCTAAATGTTCACCAACTGGAGAATGGAGGGGTGATATGCGGTCTATTCACACAAAGGAATACTATACAGCAGGTAAAATGAATGCATGAGAGCTATGTATGGTAACAGAAATAAATCTCCAAAATGGTGCTGAGGAAGGAAAAAAGCAAGATGCAGAAATTTATTCAGCATATCATTTAAAATTTAAAAACATGCGGGGCTCCTGGCTGGCTCAGTCAGTGGAGTGTGCAACTTTTGATCTCGTAATCATGAGTTCGAGCCCCACGTTGGGTATAGTTTACTTAAAAAAATCTTTAAAAAAAATGTAAAAACATGCAAAATAATAGTATGCATTGCTTAAGGATACAAACTTATGTAGGAAAGTATAAACCATACAGTTGAGGGTGGTGGCTACCTAACGGAGGGAGGGGACAGTATTGGGGAGGCTGGGGGGGGCAGGTGTTGGTAAAAGTGGGGTTTAAAATAAAATAAAAATAAAAATAGTCCTGTTTTATTTCTCCAGAAAATAAAAACATGAAGCAAATCAGTAAATGTTCACTGTCAATTGTGTGGCGGGTGTTCTTTTTATTGTTATGTGTGAAATATTTCCCCTTTTTGTTTCTAAGTTACATCAGCAAGAACAGAGACTGGCCCTTCTTGAGGAAGAACACACAGTGCCTCCATTTCTCACTTCCCCTTCCCTTAGTCCTTAGCCCGGGAGAGGCTGGCTTCACCAACGCTTGCTGAGGATGCCAGAAATAACCTTGTCCCCCGGTGGGGAAGGAGGAACAAGGTTCTCAGTTCCTACCTTCTTTGTCTCTTTTTATATAGTCTACCCTTTAGGTTATGTCCGTCGCCCCCTCCCCCAGCTTGAAGCTCCTGTCTTTTCCCTCTGGCCTCCTGGTGACACTCTTTCTCTGCTTCTCCACTTGCTCTCGAGCCCTCCATGGCCTCCAGGGCTCCGTCCACACCCCCTTTCTCTTATCATTCCACCCACATTCTGTCTGGATGCTTTTACCCTAACTCATGTCCTCAAGGACTTCCTGAAAATAGATGACCCACAAATCTCTATCTGCAGCCCATCTCTCCTGAGCCCCAAGCCAGCCCCTGCAAATGCCCACCCACAGTCCTTATCCCAAGATAGTGCAGAAATCCTAAACTCTGAAACTGAGCCGGTCGTCCCCGGCCTGCAGCTCCTCTCCCCGGGGCCCTTTTGCTGATGCATGGCACCACATTCTGTCTTGTCACCCAGCAGGGACCTGGGAGCATTCTCATTACTCCCTCCTCCTCATCCCCTACCTGCAACTAGCTGATTAGCCTCGCAGGTCCCCTTCCTATGGCTCCTAACACCAGCATTGTCTGGGCCTCGTCATTTCTCCTTGAATTACTCCAGTAACCCCAAGCTGTGATCTCCCCACCAGCATCCCTGCCCCTGCCGTTCCAACCTCACTGCCACAGAGGATAGTGATCCTTCTAACATCCATCTTTCATCCCAATACCCTTTTCCCATAATCCCTGAATGGCAGAGTTGTCAGGAGAAAACCTTTCTCCTTTGCAGGATGGACAAAGTCCTCCCTGACTCGCCCGAGTTCCTCTCTGGCCCTCATACTCCACCAGCGCAGCCGTGCCCTGCTCTTTTCTCTGGCCTGTGTATATGGTGATTTGGCCCCAAATATCCTCCCCAAACCGTCCCGCACACACCACCATTTCTCTTGGCTCGCTAACCCCAGATCCTTCCTTCTGCCTTTGGCTCTGCCCAAGTGAACCTGGGCCCATGAGATCTTCCTGCGCCTCCCCCCCAGGTGGGGTGTTCGACCTCGATCACAGCCACCCTCACACTGCGCTGTTGCCACTGGAGGGGTCTTGAACCTCAGGTCCATAGCAAAATGCCTGGCATAGCGATGGTGTTCAGAAGGCATCTGACTTACGTGTGAGTCACTTACAATCTGAAATACCAAGGTTGGGGTTCGCTGTGTGCGAGGCAGGGAGTCCTCCCCATACCCGTGTTATCCGTGGTTTCAGCTCATCCCTGCGACCCTCCTGCTGGCGGGAGTGGTGCCTCATTTCGAAGGTGAGCGCGGACACTCTATGCACGTACCAGCCTATCCGGGATCACACCGGCGGTGCCACCTGGAGCCGCAGTTCCGCCTCAGGCCGATGGCCCCAAAGCATCCTTGTTCTGCTAGACCAAAGGATCCACACTGAAGGCCCGTGTCTCTGCGTGGCCCCCAGACAGGTAACAGCCCCACTTTCCTGCTTCTCCCGAAAAAATTCTTAACATCTGATGACGATCAGCTGGAACAAAATAGTGGCTCTTCGTGGGACAAGGACTACACTTCTCAGTTCACTCCGCCTGCTTTGAGTTTCCGAGCCCCTAGAAATGCTTGGGTTTGCAACCCCCTGCGCCAGTTTTTGAACATTCCTGTTTAGGAACAGAACTCCTCCAAAGTGGATGCGAGCAAAATACTAACCCATGTGGCCCTTCATCTTTCGTGAAGGAAGCCAAGGGGTGGGAGGCCCCGTCTGGTCCGCCCGTGGCAGCGCAGGTGAGGGGGCGCGGTCGTCCAGGCCTGGTGGAGACTGTGCTGCTACTCTATCGCCTGAAGCCTTGCTTCTCCCGCCGCCCCCTGGTTTCTCGGCTTGGCGGTACGGACGGGCTAGGACAGAAGGGTGTCCACAACAGCACTGGATCAACGAAGAACAAAAAGTATGGCGTGAAAATATCAGCTGAGGGGCGCCTGGCTGGCTCAGCCGGTGGAGCATGGGCCTCTTTATCTCTGCGTCCTGAGTTCGAGCCCCATGTTGGTCTTAGAGATTACTTAAAATAAAATATATATATATATATATATATATAAAAGAAAAAAGAAATACCAGCTGGAAAAGTACTGACTGGAGGTCAAAAGAGCCCACAGTCATCGCAATAAAAAAGGAACTGGGTGAAATCTTGGTGGTGATGGGGGAATATACCTCAAGAAGAGCTCTTCTCTATTGAAAGAATCTAATTCAACCAAGACAGTGTGAATTGGATTGAGTGTGCACTTATTGTTGAGCAAGCCTTGGGGGGCCCATAGCAGAACTTCTCAGCGATCTCCTGAGGTTGCACAGAAAGGTCTTATTGTTGGGAATGGGCTCGGCTATCCTGCTTTGTTGACAGGTTGGTCTCACCAGGAAGGGGCCCACCGTACCTCTCCCCGTGGAGACACTGCTGGGTTTCAATGCGTTTTTCATTCTCCTGGCTGCCTGAGCAAACAGCCATCATTGTTTCCATTGTGAGCTCTTCTCCTCTTGGAGCCAAGCCCAAGTTCAGGGAACATGTGCTTGAGCCCAGCATTTGGCAGCCTGTGTCCCCACTTGGAGTGAATGTCTGTCTTTCCCTTTTTCCTATTAAGACACTTCGCTGAATTTGGAGATTGAAATGAAATGCTGAACACGCTTAGTGCTAAAAGCTGGTTCCTACCCCCTGCTGGCTTATTCGTATAAGGGGCAAAAAAACCACACCCAAATTCAGAACCCGAGTGACTAGGCTAAGACAAGAATTATTTCCATCTCTCTCATCACCAACATGACTGAGGCCATATGTATCTCAAAGTGTCAATGGACTCAGATTCCTGGAGAAAATTTCTCTTTGCATTATTGACCCAGTTAAGAATTTATGAGAAATCCTACCTCACAGTTGAAAAAAACACCAAGCATCCTAATTTCTGGGACCTCATTTTGTACAACCGGGAGACAGACCAGAAGTCAGATTAAATACTTTCCCCACATCCACACGGATACGAAATAACAGGACTAGGGTTTATTTGTTTCTACATTTTTAAGTTGAGGTACAATGGCATAGAATAAAATGCACAGATCTTCAAGGCAGAGTTTAATGAATTTTGACAAATGTTTATACCCATGTAATCAACACTTCAATCAAAATTTCCATAATCCTAGGGAGTCCCCTTAGGCCTTTTTCCACTCAATGTCCATCCCTCTTCTTCCCCCACCAGGCAACAACCATTCTTTGATTCCTATCCCCGTTGGTTAGTTTTGGGGTTTTAAGAACTAAAAACTGAACGCATGCAACCTTGCCGGCAGCCGAGGAGTCTGTCTCTGCAGATTTTCCTCCCCTTTCCTCCCCACAAGTACTACTTAAGATTTGTTTTGGATCCATCTGGACAGCCTTCCAGGAAGTCCGTCTTAACCGCAGTACAGACACATTTAGGTTTAAAGGGATTCATGTTTTAGGAGGGATGAAGGCCAACTATGATTCTTCAGCATGTGGTACAAAAAGAACGCTTCTTTCTGGAAAGTCCAGTTTTCTTCAACGCATCTGGTTTCTTGACTCTTTCCGTGTCCCACCTCCCCTTCAGGATAGCTGGCTTTGTATCTGTGGGAAGAACTGTGGAAGAACTGTGCGAGCGAGCACATGTCCGCCATCTTTCAACGGAGAAGCCACTTCCTAGTCCTGGTCACCTTCCTGCTGTGCGGGGCCTCCTCTTCCCAGCTCATCTGGCCTCTCCACACAGCATCCCAAGAGGACAGGGCTAGTTGAAAATCTAATGCTGTCCTCAGCCACTTAATTAGCCTGCAAGGAAACTGGCTTTTAGAAACTGGAAAAATTGGGTGAAGGCTTGCTCAGAACACTGCTTCCAGGCCAACAAACGGAGCGAAGGCCCAGGTGTAGGCAGCTCTCCACCAGCCACAGACACGACCCAGTCCGATGGGGCCTGATTCCCTTCCAAGCCGAGCGCGGCAGCCACGGAGGGTCATTTTCTCCGTAGCAGCTTCGTTTCCCCAGACGGTGAGCTAAGGCTTGGCACTGGCAAACTCCATAAAATGAGGCAGTTAGGCCCGTGCTTTCAGGCAGAAATGACTGCATGGAATATATGCACACAATTATTTCAATCAAGCCACATGTTAAAAATTCTAAAGAAAAAGAATAAAAATGAGGCACACATAGACATAACATTAGAATCCACTTGTGAACCCAGAACAAAGCCGCAATGCTGGAGGCATACAGGCCCCTCTGGAGCCAAACTCCATAAGACGGTTTGTTAGATGAGTCTGTGGAATTACAAGCAGAGGTGCCAAAAATAGTCTGGAGAGTCTCTCTTCCCTACACAATGTCACTTCTGAGTATTTCCTGGGGTTTTTGAGACTTTTTTTTTTTCCCATTTTGTAAATTTCTAAAACAGGCACGATATTAACATTGTTCAAAATTAAAAAATAACAAAATACAAGGGGTCTTCGGTGAGAAGTCTCCCTCTCCCTCCTGGGCCCCAGGCATTCCCTTACCCTCCCATGGGCCCCGCGTTTAGTGGTTAGTGGCTTCTTGTACTGAGTCAGAGATAGTCTGGCATATACAAGTAAAACACAGATATAAATTTCTCACTCTTCTTTTTTATAGAAATGGAATTTACTAACGCTCTCCTGTATTTTGCTTTTCTTTTTTCTTTGCACTCACTGTATTTAGAAACAGAACCTTGAAGATGGATTTCAATAAAGAAAAACTATATGTTCATTTACCAATTCACCCAGCAAATCCTACTTCTAAAAATGTATCCAAAGATACCCTGGCGAAAATACAAAATACTGTATGGAGGCTCGTAACAGAGCATTTCAAAAAGCAAGAAGGAAATGACCACCAATTACTAATAAAAATTGCTGGTCAGTGCTGGACCAAGGGACAAACGAGAGGGAGAGGATGGGCGATGTCTCTGAATGTACCTTGCTTTTACCCCTGATTTTTTTTACTGGTTTTAACTCTGGAATCATATAAATATTTTACATAATTTTTTGAAAAGCCACTCCCCCCTTCCCCCAAAATAGAAAAGCCAAATGAAACAAAGTTAACTGTGTATAGATTTGGATGAGGAGCAATTTCAAGTGACTTTATTTTTAAAGATTTTATTTATTTGAGACAGAGAGAGAGAGACAGACAGACAGCATGAGTGGGGGAGGGGCAGAGGCAGAGGGAGAAGCAGACTCCCACCCAGCAGAAGCTCCATCCTAGGACCCCAAGATCACAGCCTGAGCTGAAGGCAGATGATTAACTGACTGAGCCACCAGGCGCCCCTCAAGTGACTTTAAAACACAATCCCTAGATGAGGGTTTCTCACCTTCAGCACTACTGACATCTTGGGCCAGATCATTCTTTGTGATGGGGTGTGGCCCCACGCAAGCCCCATGGCAGCGGCACTTGAAGCAAAACTTTGGCTGTGCGGTCACGCATCATTGCTGGGAGAATTAAGTGCCCTGTGTGCAAGTCCGCTGGGAGAGTTTGCAAATGTAGGAGGAGAGGACACGCTGGGCCACAGCCGCCCTTCCATCTGATGGAGAAGTACCAGGGTTGGTCAGGAGGCAGAGGGAGCGAGGACATGTGAGCAGGAGGTGTTATGATAAGGGCGAAGGGAGGGATGAGGCAGCTAAGCAGACTGGGGATTGGCTAGTTTGACTCATTTCAGTGGCGCCTGAGGCACAAGGGCTGTCCCTGGTTTTCCGGGACCTGGAGCCGGGGTGAGGAGCAGGTGAGGAGCACAGGCGGCCAGTGTGAGCGCCCCAGTGCACGGGCTTTGCAGTGTGAGCGCCCCAGTGCATGAGCTTTGCAGTGCACGGCCGGAATCTTTTACTCTCGCTGGGAGTTGGCTAGACTCCTAGAGGCAGTCTCTTCAGGGTAAGTGAGGCCCCAGATGTCAAAGCATCAGACGCACATGGTTAACACAGGGAGGACGACTGGAATCTTGCACCTGTTTTCTGCTGGACTGAGCCGGGCTGCCTTTTCTCTTTGCCGATTTTAATCTGTGCCCGTTCACTGACATAAATGGTAACTTTGACAGCTTTGGTGTGTTCTGTGAGTCTGTCCAGTGGCTCGTCAAACCTGAGGGTGGTCTTGGGGATCCCTGACCCGGCTGCCAAAACCATTAGGTGAAAGGATGATAGGGAACTTCACGGTGGGAGAGATAAGGCTGACACCATTGAACCCACTGCTCGGTCACCGAACACGGGGCAACCAGATGTTCCTCTTCACATTGTGCAACAGATGTATGCAGAATCGCTTAAGAAGTTTTCTTTCTTCTTTGAAGATTTTATTCATTTATTTGAGAGAGGGAGAAAGAGAAAGAAAGAGAGAGAGAGCGCGTGCGTGTGAGCGAGTGCATGGGGGTTGGGGGGGTGCACTATTCTATTTTTGTGTCCATTTAAAATTTTCTCAACATGTTTTAAAAGGTTAGAAAAAAATTCATTTAAAAATTAGAAGCATCCATAAAAATCCTAGAGAAGAACACAGGCAGCAACCTCTGTGACCTCAGCCGCAGCAACTTCTTGCTAGGCACATCTCTAAAGGCAAGGGAAACAAAGGCAAAAAAGAACTATTGGTACTTCATCAAGACAAAAAGCTTTTGCACAGCAAAGGAAACAGTCGACAAAACCAAACAACAATCAACAGGATGGGAGAAGTTATTTCCAAATGTCTTATCAGATAAACGGCTAGTACCCAAAATCTAGAACTTATGAAGCTCAACACCCAAAGAACAAATAATCCAATCAAGAAATGGGCAGAGGGGGCGCCTGGGTGGCTCAGTGGTTTAAAGCCTCTGCCTTCGGCTCAGGTCATGATCCCAGGGTCCTGGGATCGAGCTCTGCATTGGGCTCTCTGCTTAACAGGGAGCCTGCTTCCTCCTCCTCCTCCTCTCTCTCTCTCTCTGCCTGCCTCTCTGCCTACTTGTGATCTCTGTCTGTCAAATAAATAAATAAAATCTTAAAAAAAAAAAAAAAGAAATGGGCAGAAGACATGAACAGACATTTCTGCAAAGAAGACGTTCAGATGGCCAACAGACACATGAAAAAGTGCTCCACATCACTTGGCATCAGGGAAATACAAATCAAAACCTCAATGAGATACCACCTCACACCAGTTGGAATGGCTAAAATTAACCAGTCAGGAAATGAACAGGTGTTGGCGAGGATGCGGAGAAAGGGGAACCCTCCTACACTGTTGGTGGGAACGCACGCTGGTGCAGCCGCTCTGGAAAACAGTATGAAGGTTCCTCAAAAAGTTGAATGACCTATGACCCAATGACCCAGCAATCACACTACTGGGTATTTACCCCAAAGATACAAATGTAGTGATCTGAAGGGGCACCTGCACCCCAGTATTTATAGCAGCAATGTCCACAATAGGCAAACTATGGAAAGAGCCCAGATGTCCACTGGCAGATGAACAGACAAAGAAGATGTGGTGTATATATACAATGAAATACTACTCAGCCACCAAAAAAATCAAATCCAACCATTTACAATGATGTAGATGAAACTAGAGGGTATTATGCTGAGTGAAATAAGTCAATCAGAGAAAGACAATCACCATATGATCTCACTCATATGTAGAATTTAAGAAACAAAACAGAGAATCATGGGGGAAGGGATGGAAAAGTAAAAAAAGATGAAATCAGAGAAGGAGACAAACCATAAAAGACTATTAATCATAGGAAACAAACTGAAGGTTGCAGGAGGGGAGGGGGTAGGGGCTGGGGTAACTGGGTGATGGGCATTAAGGAGGGTATATGATATAATGAGCACTGGGTATTTATAAGACTGATGAGGGGTGCTAGGTGGCTCAGTAGGTTGGGTGTCTGCCTTCAGCTCAGATCATAATCCTGGAAGCTCGGGATTAAGCCCCATATTGGGCTCCCTGCTCAGTGGGGAGCCTGCTTCTCTCTCTGCCACTCATCCTGCTCTTGCTGTCTCCTAAGTAAATACAATCTTTTTTTTTTTTAAAGATTGTATTTATTTATTTGACAGACAGAGATCACAAATAGGCAGAGAGGCAGGCAGGGAGAGGAGGGGAAGCAGGCTCCCTGCTGAGCAGAGAGCCCGATAGGGGCTTGATCCCAGGACCCCGGGACCATCCAAGTCAAAGGCAGAGGCTTTAACCCACTGAGCCACCCAGGTGCCCCATAAATAAAATCTTAAAAAAAAAAAGATTGATGAATCACTCAACTCCAATTCTGAAAATAATAATGTACTATATGTTAATTGAATTTAAATAAAAAATAAAAATAAAAAATAGAAGCAGTTATCAAATATGGATTAAGAAACACGAGTTAAAAACACATGATCTAATTAAATGTATGAAATTTAAGAACCTCCCAATATTTCAGAGAGGTGATTTTAAGGCATAGGTGAGAAGGAAAGGGTTTTAAGAGGTTAAAGTGAAAGGTAGGAAGTTGGAAGTCCGAGCACCCCTTTCAGGTCTTGAGAAAACAGGCGGAGCCCAAGGTGAAGCTGCCTTTTGTCTGAAGCCTTCAGGGTTTTCCCAGCTTCTGCTCTAAAGTCTAAATGTAGGGGTGGTTTTTGTATTTAGGGGTTTTCTTGGTACTGATTTGACAAATCTACCACAAAACCTTGGAATAAAAAGATACCACTTCCTTATATTCTCATACAAATCTTTAACCTTTAAAGACCATCTCATAAGAGAGAGAGAGGCATAATCTTCTGTGGATAAGAGCTCCTGCTAGTTGTTACCATAACTGCTGTCATAAACATGGGATTTGGGGTCAGGTAAAGAATCTCCCCGATTAAAGCAGCATATGGGAGAGCCTGGTCTTCAGGATGTGATGTTTCTGCCTGCTATCTAAAAAGATTTCTTGGGGCACCTGGGTGGCTCAGTCAGTTAAGCATCTGACTCTTGGTTTCAGCTCAGGTCATGATCTCGTGGCTACAGGATCGAGCCCCACATTGGGCTCTGTGCTCAGTGCAGAGTTGACTTCAGATTCTCTCTCCCCCTCTCTCTGCTCACTCACTCTCTCAAATAAATAAAATCTTTAAGAAATAACTAAAAAAAAAAAAGATTTCTTATGGAAAAAAATTCAAGGATAATTTGTTAGGACAAAAATGTTTTACTTCCATCATTAAAAAAAATTTAAGAACATATGTTCACATACAAACTAGTACAAGAATGTTCACAGCAGCACTATTCATAATAGCTCCAAAGTGCCAACAACCCTAGTGCCCATCAACTGATGACTGGATAAATAAGATGTGATACATCCATACAACTGAATGTTACATTTTTTTTTTAAGATTTTATTTATTTATTTGACAGAGAGAGATCACAGTAGATGGAAAGGCAGGCAGAGAGAGAGAGAGCGGGGAGGGGAAGCAGGCCTCCTGCTGAGCAGAGAGCCCGATGCAGGACTCGATCCCAGGACCCTGAGATCATGACCTGAGCTGAAGGCAGCGGCTTAACCCACTGAGCCACCCAGGCGCCCTGAATGTTACTTTTATTCCACAGAAAGGAACACAGTACTGGTCTGTGCAGATTCTTGCTATCGCATCACGAATCTTGAACACATTATGTTCAGTGAGAGAAGCCAATCACAAAAGACCATGTATTCTGTGATTCCATTTATATGAAATGTTCAGAATAGGCAAATCTCTAGAGACAGAAAGTAGATGCTGGTTGCCCTAGGGCTGGGTGGGGGTGGGGCTGAGGGAAAATGGGCAGTGGCTGCAAATGGGCACCCTACTGGGTTGATAAGTGTCCCTTCCCCCAAATTTAGAACAAAAATGTTCTAAAATTGATTGTGGTGATGGCTGTGCAACTTTGTGGATAAACTAAAAGCCACTAAATTGTATAATTTAAATGGGTAAATTGTATGGAATGTAAATTATATTCCAATAAAGCTGTTATTAAAAAAACATTCAGGGGCGCCTGGGTGGCTCAGTGGGTTAAGCTTCTGCCTTCAGCTTAGGTCATGATCCCAGGGTTCTGGGATCGAGACCCACATTGGGCTCTCTGCTGAGCAGGGAGCCTGCTTCTCCCTCTCTCTCTCTGCCTGCCTCTCTGCCTACCTGTGATCTCTGTCAAATAAATAAATAAAATCTTAAAAAAAAAATTCAAAGCTATACAAAAATGGTGGGCACCTGGCTGCCTCAGTCAATGGAACGCATGACTCTTGATCTTGGGGTTGTGAGTCTGAGCCCCATGTTGGGTGCAGAGATTACTTAAAAATAAAATCTTAAGGAGGTGGTTGGGGGATTGTGGTAACTGGGGGATGGGCATTAAGGAGGCACCAGAGGTAGTGAGCGCTGGGTGTTCTAGGCAACTGAGAAATCACTAAATTCTCCCTCTGAAAGCAGTAATACAGGATATGTTAACTAAAATGAATTTATATAAAAAGTTAAAAAAATAGAATCTTAAAAAAAAAAAGGCTGAAGAACTTTGAGAAGGATCTTGAATAATCCCAACAGGGAGAACTTCCCTTGCCGTCAGTGACTGAAGGTATGGAGAGGCCGAGAGTTAAATATTACATGTTGGTTGCTAGGTCTGCTGCCGATCTGCTATACAGACTTTTGGCCTTTTATTTTTTTATTTTTATTTTTTTATTTTTTTAATTTTTTTTTTTTTTTTTAAAGATTTTATTTATTTATTTGACAGAGAGAGATCACAAGTAGACAGAGAGGCAGGCAGAGAGAGAGAGAGAGAGAGAGAGAGGGAAGCAGGCTCCCTGCTGAGCAGAGAGCCCGATGCGGGACTCGATCCCAGGACCCTGAGATCATGACCCGAGCCGAAGGCAGCGGCTTAACCCACTGAGCCACCCAGGCGCCCTATTTTTTTATTTTTTTTTAAAGATTTTATTTTATTTTTTTGACAGACGGAGATCAGGCAGAGAGGCAGCAGAGAGAGAGGGGGAAGCAGGCTCCCCACTAAGCTGAGAGCCCGATGTAGGGCTCGATCCCAGGACCCTGGGATCATGACCTGAGCTGAAGGCAGAGAGGCTTTAATGCACTGAGCCACCCAGGCACCCCAGACTTTTGGCCTTTTAGACAGAACTCTTTCAGTTGCAAGCTACAGAAAACCTACTCAACCAGGCTGAACCAAAATAATACAAATTTAAGTCACGTACTTGGGAGTCCTGGGTGAGCAGGGGCATCCAGACAAGGTCACGGGAACAGATTTCCTTCTTGACTGCCTTCATTCTCAAGCTGCCCGTTGCTGTGTGGTGGCAAAAGCAGCCACAGGTGGTCCCACGACTCTGTGGCCTTTATAGCTCCTGGTACAAGAGAGAGACTCTTTCCTGCTAGCTCTCGCAGCAGTTCCGGGATTGTCGGGCTGGCTCCCACTCTCACAGCCAGGGAGAAAGGTCTGCTTCAACCAAGTGCCGTGGGTAGAACAGGAAAGGGTAGTTCTCCCAGGAAGAAAGGCTGGGTAGAGAAAATCCGTCCACAACACCAAAGGAAGCGCTAAAACGTGCAGACCTGAACATCATCTCCACCCCATAAACACTTGTCAAAGCAAGAACACACAAAACACAGCAACCACAGAGTCCTTTTAAAGCATCCCTTTCCACGTTATTCCATTATTTTAGAGAAGCAATAACACACGAGTCAGCACAGATGCGAAGGTCATCAGCTAGATGCCATTTCAGCAGAGAGAGCGACTTCAATCAAGGATAGCCTGTTCCGTGTTCCAGAGTTCTGTCTGAAGTGATAGGTCACTCTGGTAGATGGCAGATCTTTTTTTTTGCCTGACTCGGCCACAAGAAAAGCTCCGTTTTGTCCAGCACAAAAGAAAGCAGCGGTCCAGTGTGAAGAGCCGGAAAACTCTGCCACCAACATGCTTGATGCAGTTTGCCCTTCTTATTTGAACTGGTGATAATCTGGTGGGTTTCGGATCCAGGATCCAAAGGCCTGCTTTCGGAGCGCACTCCAGGCTTCCTGGTAAGCAGACGCGGCCTCCTTGTACTCGTGGTATGTCTCCAGCTTCCGCAGCCTAATGCACACACACCAGCAAGCACACGGGTTCTCCATGATCAGCTCAGCAGGGCGGCCAACTGAGCCAGCGGCCGAACAGATTTCTAACCAGAGACCTAGGAACGGGAGGATTTTGTATGCTTTCCTACAGCAACTCTCTCTATTGTAAGAAACTCACTAGAAAGCAACATGGATTCAAACAGGTGATAATCAATAATGCTAGTCTTGTTTGGTCCTGGTGGAATCAGACAAATAACTACTTTTTGGCTTAAAGTGTTCCGGGAAATGGCTTACTGCAAAGAAGTCCCCTTCCCTGTAAGACTCACGGACGCCCCCTAGGCCTACCTACGACAGATGCTCCAAACTCCCATTCTGTCTCAGTGACTAGCTGAACTGTTTGTACATTACACCCAACTGGACAAAATTCTTGCTTCTGTGACCAACATTAGTTATGCTTCTGTCCTTCTCCCAGGCCCTGAACTCTGATCCACCCTCAGCCTGAGCCAGCATCAGAATGTGTAGTGAGCCCTTCTTAACAAACTATCCCCCCAGCGCCCCCCCACCCCACCGAGAATCGACTGATCCTGTCCACCTGTCCCCTCACCCTGACCGAGTCTCCCATGCCCCCTTCCCGCTTCTTCCTAGCCTTGCTCACGGCTCCCCACAAAGGAAGGCTCTTTCCCACCTGCCCTGGAGGCTTACAAACCAAACGACCTCAGCGCCCTCACTTTGGCATCAGTCCTGCTGCTGCTCTAACGGCCCCTCTCTTACCGCAGTGATCCTCTGGAATCAAGTTTCTCCTGATCTTAGTTCAGAGTTGTTTTCACTGACACACAAAATGTCTGGAACCCGCCCCCTGGTCAGTTTGATTCATTTTTCTAGATAAAAAACCGAGCAGGGACGCCTGGGTGGCTCAGTTGGTTAAGCAGCTGCCTTCGGCTCAGGTCATGATCCCAGCGTCCTGGGATCGAGTCCCACATCGGGCTCCTTGCTCGTCAGGGAGCCTGCTTCTCCCTCTGCCTCTGCCTGCCATTCTGTCTGCCTGTGCTTGCTCTCTCTCCCTCTCTCTCTCTGACAAATAATTAAATAAAATCTTAAAAAAAATAAAAATAAAAATAAAAAACCGAGCAAATGGACTGCAGGGTAGCATTACCGACTATAGTGTGCACAGTGGTGACAGCAAGGGGCTAGCCTGCTCGGGGAGAAGTTTCTAGCAACGCCTCAGCTTCCCCACTGTACACAGAATGATAAAGAATTTGGCAGGTCTTGCTGTCAGTTGCTGAGACGGAACCTCCAAACCTTCTCAATTTTCCTGGGGGCAGGAACGTCTTTGTTTTTCATGGTGGACCCCTGTGATTACCTGAGTTGACACTAAGCGAGGTGACTCCTGGTGGGCCCTAACCGATCAGGGTGCGGCTGCCATCCAGAAAGACTAACCACAGAGTACAGTGGGTCATCCTATCGGTCTGATCTCCTGACCGGAGGGGGAGATTGCGAATGAGTTCAGTCACATCACGTGGCCAACGATTCGGTCAGTCTGACTTAATGAAACCAGCGAAAACTCTGGACACTGAAACTTGGGTCCCCCTTCTGGCTGGTGATACAAGTGATGTGCTGGGGGGTGACCCTTCTTTTAGCTGGTTCACAATACAAAGGAATTGTTCAGTACAGTGCTTTCCTGAATTCATGAGTTGTTCTAGTGAGTCTGCAGGTAGTGGTCAGAAGCCTGAGCGGCTTGTGGCTGACGTATGAAGTGAGGGGCACCGACCTCCAGTAGTTAGTGTCTGAACTGTCCCACCCAGCTATGCCAGCAGCAGACTGAGAGTTCTCTACATTCCTGCTTGGTGGCAATTTCATTCATGGAGCTGCAGCTCACAACCACCGGTGTGAGCAGAAGAGAAGAGAGTGACGCTCCTAACACACTCTACTCTCCCCAAACCCTCATATGTCAGCCTTGCTCTCCATGTGGAGGAGGGTGAAAGGAGAGCCTGGAACGGGCCAAACCCCGATTCCTCCTCCCCTCCCCAATATCCTCTGTAACGGCACCACTAAGCCAACCATCCTGCACACCTCAGATGTGCGTTGGCGATCAGAGCCCCAGAGAGAGAGGAGCGCACGAGCGGTAATTAAGTGCCCACGGACTCCCACCAAGGCTTCCTGCCATTCGTAAGGCAGAATTAACCCACAAATCTTCCTAAATATGAAAAAACATGGGTCAACAGCGTCACCTGAGGGAGTCTGGCCACTTGTCCTCCGAAATACTGCTTAGCAGTTTTTGGAATGATCTAAAGAGTTCCACTTTGCTAATCCGGGATCTGTTTGGAAGCAGAGGACAAAGAGGTTTATTAGAAGTGCTGAGCGCGTACCAGCCCCCCCGAGATGCTGGGCTTCACATGGAACTTTCTTATGTTTGAGTGCACCAGGGCCCCACTTCCACCTGCTCTTCACATGAAGGACATCTAGACCTGATTGGGGTGAGGGAGAAAAAGCAATCTCATCTTTTTTTTTTTTTTTTAAGATTTCATTTATTTATTTATTTGACAGACAGAGATCACAAGTAGGCAGAGAGGAGGAAGCAGGCTCCCTGTTGAGCAGAGAGCCCAATGTGGGGCTCAATCCCAGGACCCTGGGATTGAGCCCCGTGTCGGGCTCTCTGCTCAGTGGGGAGCCTGCTTCCTTCCTTTCTCTCTCTCTCTCTCTCTGCCTACTTGTGCTCTCTGTCAAATAAATAAAACAAAACAAAAGAAGTGTCAGCAGCAGCAAAATCATCAAGATGATATGCTCACGTGAGGTAAAGGCGGAGATGGCATTACTAAACTCTCTCCAGGACACCCACAGCCACACCGGGCTACCTCTCCTCAAGGGAGCTGAGCCGGTGGGTAATACTGCTCAAGGCACTGCAGTGGTTTCAGCCTCGAGGGCTGTTCCCTGTGGGAGCTGCGGTCACAAAGTCCACTTGGATGAGCTCTGGACACAGAGCCTCCTGACTCTCCTCTGGGCACTGTGCGCCTTTGAGGCCAACCCTTGGCTTCCACCACAAAGCCTCATGCAGGCCCCAGTTTGGAACATCGGGCAAAGTGAGTGTGGCCAGGCCACCTGGCCACTGGCCCACCAGGGCCTTCTTGCTTTTGGCCATCCATGCTGCCAGGATCTGGCCTATATGTGCCTCCTTTCCCTCCCTTACACAGCTCCCGAGCTGACTGAGAGTAGGGAAGCATGTCGGCCAACAATGGGCGGTCTCATCCTTACACACCAGAGCCTTCGCTGTTCTCACAGACTGTACCATTAGCTTGGACGCCGTGGCCAAACCGCGATATGTGAAATAGGGAAGTGTACCATCTGTCAAGAAGTTCCCTTACCTGGCTGGCACCTAGGCTACTTAGCAGGGGGCCCTGAGCCCTCACACGCTGCTCTCCCTGGCCCCTCACTGAGCTGGTGTGGCAGCTGGCGCTTGGGAACATAAGGTTCCTCTAACATTTAAAAAAAACAAAAACAAACAAAACAAAAAGCCAAAGCCAAAAAACTAATGAAACTTATTTTGTTAACAGATTAAAGGAGAAATGTAATATAATCGTGAGAAACTCCCCCACCCCATAAATAAATAAGTGAAATCTTTTTTTTTTTTTTTTTTTTATTTGACAGAGAGAGATCACAAGCAGTCAGAGAGGCAGGCAGAGAGAGAGAGGAGGAAGCAGGCTCCCTGCCGAGCAGAGAGCCCGATGCGGGGCTCTATCCCAGGACCCTGAGACCATGATCTGAGCCGAAGGCAGCGGCTCAACCCACTGAGCCACCCAGGCGCCCCAAATAAGTGAAATCTTAAAAAAAAAAAAAAAAAAAAGCGGGGGGCAGGGTGGAGCTCTGGGTGGCTCAGTTGGTTAAGGGCTGGCTCCTGATTTTGGCTCAGGTCATGGTCTCAGGGTTGTGAGATCGAGCCCTGCATCGGGCGCCATGCTCAGGGCAATCTGTTGTCCCTCTCCCTCTGCTCCTGCCCCTTCTCATGCTCTCTCTCTCTCTCAAATAAATAAATAACATCTTTGAAAAATTTTTTGTGAGAAAAAAACATGCAGTGAAGCATCTGTTAGAATTCAACATCCACAGAATGATTTAAAACCATTTAGCAAACGAGGATTAGGAAAAAGACAGTATTTATGGCTGTAAGGGATGTCTATAAAAACCTGCAGCAAATTCACGTCCTTAAAATCAGGAATAAGACAAGGGCGCTGCTTTTATCCCATGTTACCCAGAAGGTTCTGGCCAGTAAGACAAGAAATAAAAGGAGTAAGGATTAAAGCACAAAAACCAAAGTCATTATTTACCAATGACTGGCAGACTGTCAGTTCTAGCCAGGAGAGTAAACCAAGGAAAAATAAATAAATAAAAGGAATGGAGGGTTGGAAAGGAAATATTTGCAAAAGATCGTTTACTTTGGGGGCGCCTGGGTGGCTCAGTGGGTTACAGCCTCTGCTTTCGGCTTAGGTCATGATCCCAGGGTCCTGGGACTGAGCCCCGCATCGGGCTCTCTGCTCAGCGGCGAGCCTGCTTCCTCCTCTCTCTCCGCCTGCCTCTCTGCCTACTTGTGATCTCTATCAAAAAAAAAAAAAAAAAAAAAAAAAATCGTTTACTTTGGGAAAAAAAAAAAAAAAGCAACAGAATTCCCAGATAAATTAGGAGAGTAAGAAGTTAACAAGGTTGCTGGATACAAACATTAGCTGCAACAGGGAAAAACAAAAAACTGATTACAACAGCAGTGAGCAGAAAATGAAATAAAAAGAAATTACTTAAAATAGCATTGCAGTAGCTGACCTCCAAGAGGGTGATTTTTTTTTTTTTTTAAAGATTTATTTATTTGAGTTGGGGGTGGAGAAAGTACACAGCTGCGTGCACGCACACACAACCCAACACAGGGCTCAATTCCAGGACCCCGAGAGCACGACCTGAGCTAAAATCAAGAGTCACTTAGCAAACTGAGCCACCCAGGTGCCCCATGGCGATTTTTAAAAAAACTGATGTATAGTTGACTTACAATGTTATATTAGTTTCAGGTGTATAACACAGTGATTTGACAATTATTTATGTTATGGAACGCTCATCACAGTAAACACAGTTTCTGTCTCTCACCACATGAAGTTATTACAGGATTACTGATTGTACCTCGATGCTGTACTCTTCGTCCTCATGATTTATTTTATAACTGGAAGTCTGTACTTTTTTTTTTTTTTTTGAAGATATTATTTATTTATTTGAGAGAGAGAGAGAAAGAGAGAGTACAAATTGGGGGAGGGGTAGAGGGAGAAGCAGGCTCCCCAAGGAGCAGGAAGCCTCATGTGGGACTCGATCCCAGGATCCCGGGATCATGACCTGAGCTGAAGGCAGAGGCTTAACCAACCGAGCCCCCGAGGCACCCCTGGAAGTCTGTACTTCTTAATCCCCTTCCTCTATTCTGGCCCATCCCGAACCCTTCCCCTCCCCTCTGGCAACCACCAGTCTGTTCTGTATTTCTGAGTCTGTTTCATCATTCTAGGGGACAGGACCATACATCTTACTGTTCAAGAAGTCTAGAGAGTCTTATAGACTCTCTTACAGACTCAACACTTGAGCTGCCCACCCACCCAGAATAGGTAAAGGAGAAACATCAAAAATAAACTAGCGTCTTGCCTGACGCTCCTGCTTCCTTCTGAAACACTGACAGGTGAGCTCCTGAAACTTCTGCTACAGCCCAGGGGCCACTGATGTGCAACTATGCGAGAACATCTGGGTTTATTTTTACAGAGCATGAATGAAGCATACGAAGGCCTTTCATTCACCAAAACAAGAAGCCTTAGCAATCAACCATGCCTATCCGGAGCTGGAGATGGTTCCCCATCAAGGTGTGTTAAAGAAACACATCACTTAAACCTCCCTGGAAGGAGCCCTAATGGATTCCGTTTACCACCAACATTGTAGTGCAATGTCAAGGCCTCCAGGTTCACCGTAAGAAGCCATCAGGGTGAGTGAGCTTAACAGCTTCTGGAGACCAGGTCTGTAAATGGTTCCAACATTTTTCCCTTGGGAGGAACAAATAGCCCTTTCTCTTATCAATGTTTCCAACCCAAGGCAACGGCCTTGTGAGTAACGTTAAGGTACATATACCTATAAAGACAGAAGGGAGATGCTGGGAACCTCTCCTCTGCTGAAACAGAGATCCCTCAAGAGAAATAAGACCTTTCTGAAGATCTATTCAACAGCAGAATGGAGTGGCCATACTAGTTACTCCTCCGTCAATGAGACCTACTCAGTAATCCCCACTCGGGTCATCTGTGGAGCACAGCAACCCTCCACAGCAATCATGGCAGCTGCCACTCTCCAGGGAGCCCTGGTTCCTTTCAGCAGCAAGGATTACACTCTTGGTATTAGGTTTTCCTCAGGAAAAACATTGCTGGTTGGTGCATCAAGGAGCCAGAAAAGATATACACACAAGTATACTTTCTTTAAGATTACACATTTACATTGGTATTCTTTTTAAAAAAGATTTTATTTAGTTGGGAGGGGACATAGATGGAGAGTGAGAGGGAGAAGCAGCCCCCTGCTGAGCAGGGAGCCCAACACAGGGCTCTATCCCAGGACCCTGGGACAATGACCTGAGCCAAAGGCAGACGCTTAACCAACTGAGCTGCCCAGGCACCCTCTACGTTGGTATTCTTTTTTTTTTTAAGATTTTATTTATTTATTTGAGACAGAGAATGAGGAGTGGGGAGGGAGAGAGGAAGAGGGAGAAGTAGGCTCCCCACTGAGCAGGGAGCCCGATGCAGGGCTCGATCCCAGGGTCCGGAAATCAGGACCTGAGCCAAGGGCAGAGGCTTAACTGACTGAGCTACTCAGACGCCCCAACATTGGTATTCTTAATCTAGCCTTATCTTTAAGAAACTCAGATGCACTTAGGTTTTCTGTGGGGTTTTTTTTTTTTTTTTTAATTCCTTATCCTTTTCTTTTATAATCCAGTGAGGCATGTAATGATCTCTCCAGGATCCTCTGGGATGGGAAGAGGATCTGCCACTTACAGGAAGAGTAAAATGAAACCTCTTGAAAATGAGGGTCTGTTATTATTGCATTGTGTGGAAAAGAACACAAAGACTTAAATGAAATATTTTCTTCTTGTATTGCATTGGTATACTAAATGTCTCTACTATCCCAGTCCATGTTCCTGTTCCCCACAGTTCTAAAGAAGGTGGTCCCAGGATACCAGCATGAGGGCATGATCCGTGAGAAAACCTGGGAGTCTTTAGAAGAAACTGACTCTTCCACACAGGATATGAAGCTTCTCTGAAGAAGGAAAGGGGAAATCAATCTTAACAAGATGTCTGCCCTAAGCCTGCACTACCTTCGCCAGCACTTCTCACCACATTCGTGGGTGAAACATACTTTTAGTTCCCCTTGCTCTACAGTTGGGGAAACGGAGGCTCAGAGAGGTAAAGTAATTTGCCCAGGGTCACACCCTGGGGAGAAAGCGAACCAGGAATTAAACATCAGTCTCTTGAACCATAAGGTTTCTGTTTTTGCCCTGCTCTACTTCCTCCCTTACGGAGTCTGCCTTCTAAATGGAGAGACATCTACAGCCTGTCAGAGATCTCAGATCATCTACTCCAGTATCCTCATCTGACAAGAGATGCACGCACGGAGGCCTGGAGAGCAACTGGCCTTGTCCAAAGTCACGTGGATACTGGAGACAGAGAGAGCATGGGAATATGAGGTGCTCCCAGTCAACAGAGAGCGCCAACATACTGGGACAAGCTGCAGAACAGCACTATGGAAATTTGAAAAGAGGACGGTAATTGTGAGCCAGAAGGCAGTGGTAGTTGAGTTGAGGTTTGAAGGTAAAACACACTCTGGTCGGAAGCTAATAGCTGGTCTCCTGAGAGATGCAAACAATGGCCTGGAGCCAGGAGGCCCTTGGGAAATCAGGCAATGGTTTCTTACCTGCGACACTAAAAGTACAAACCACCATAGGGAAAAAACAGATAAAACGGAGTTCATCAAAATTTAAAACTTCCGTGCTTTAAAGGACCCTTTCAGAAAGTGAAAAGATAACCCACAGAATTGCAGAAAATATGTTCAAATACATATGTGAAAAAAGACTGGCATCCAGATTATACAAAGAAATGTTTCAACTCAACAATAAAAAGATAAACAAACAAATGGACAAAGGATCAGAATAGGTATTTCTCCAGAGAAGATACACAATTGGCAAATAAAACACGAAAGAATACTCAACATCAAAAGAAGCTCGAACAGTTATTAGGAAAAGGCACATCAAAACCACGAGATAGCTCTCATGCCAGCTAGAGTGGTTCCAATGAAAAAGAGAGGCCACAGTGAGTGTCGTAAAGGATGTCGGGTAACTGAGACGCATCCATTGCTGGTGGGAGTTTAAATTGCTGCAGCTGCTACAGAAAATGTTTGGCAGTTCCTCCAAAAAGCAGAAAAGCAAAAAACCCCCAAGGTTATCACAGGACTCAGCAATTCCATGCCACGGTATACCCAGGAGAATTGAAAACATATGCCCGCCTAAGAGCTCATTATATAAATGTTCACAGCAGCACCATTCCCGATAGCCCAAAAGCAAAATAACCCAAATGGCCATGGACAAAAGGACGGATGAACAAAAAGCAGCGGGCAGACCCCCACGAAATACCACAATGGTATATAGGAATGAAGGACTGATACGTGTTACAACACGGACGAGCCTTGAAAACCTTGTGCTAAGTAAAATAAGCCGCATCCTGTATCTTACACAGCAAAATGTCCAGAAAGAACAAATCCACAGAGACATCACGTCGATTCATGGATGTCAGGGGCCGGAGCAGGGCCCGGGGAATGACTGCTAAGAGAGGTAGGGCAATGAAGATGTTCTGGAATTAGTGGTAAAGGGTGCCTGCACAGCCACCATCTCCTTCTGCCTCAACCTGCTTACCTGGCCTGAAGGCACCTGATGGCTTTCTTCGTTGTTCCCTGCGGAAAGCCATTGGCAGTGACATCCAGTGGCTGCTCGGGAACTGCGCTCCAGCTGATGGCTATGCAAAGACAAGATTCTAGAGTTAAAACTCCTCAGTTTCCTGTGAATGTCAGAAGTGTTTTCACAAAAATACTTCCCTCTCTCCAAAACAGAGTCAACACTGCCACTCTGATGCCCGACCTCCAGAATACAGTGATTTAAAGAGGTTCATCATTCATCATCTTCATTCTAAGACCCAATAACCACTAAGCACTCATTACATGCTGGACACACAGTCAGCGCATGGAACGGAATTTCTCATTTAATCCTTGTAACAATCCTGATAAGAAAATGACACATTGTTTTCTTTCCTTTCCTTTTCTTTTTTTTTTAAGATTTATTTATTTATTTATTTGACAGAGAGAGAGAGAGAGAGAGAGATCACAAGTAGGCAGAGAGGCAGGCAGAGGGGGAGGGGGGGAAGCAGGCTCCCTGCTGATCAGAGAGCCTGATGTGGGGCTCGATCTCAGGACCCTGGGATCATGACCTGAGCCGAAGGCAGAGGCTTAACCCACTGAGCCACTCAGGTGCCCCGACACATTGTTTTCATAAGCATACTCTTGTAATCCCCATTCGAGCCCCCCCTCCCCCCACACCAGTAACATCAGTTTGTTCGATAGAGCTAACAGTCTCTCCTTCTTGGGGCACCTGGGTGGCTCAGTCAGTTAAGTGTCTGCCTTTGGCTCAGGTCATGATCCCTGGGACCTGGGATCGAGTCCCGTATTGGGCTCCCTGCTCGGCAGGGAGTCTGCTTCTCTCTCTCCCTCTGCACCTCCCCCTGCTTGTGCATTGTCATATGAATACACAAAATATTAAAAAAAAAAAAAAAGACTGTTTCTTGGTTTGTCTTTTTCCCCTTTGCTCATTGTTTTGTTTCCTAAATTGTACATATGAGTGAGATCATATGGTATGCCTTTCTCTGCCTGACTTATTTTGCTTAGCATAATACACTCTAGCTGCATCCAAGTCCCTCCAAATGGCAAGATTTCATTTTCTTCTATGGCTGAGCAGTATCTTTATCCATTCGTCCGTCGATGGAAACTTGGGCTGCTTCCATAGCTTGGCTACTGTAAATAATGCTGCAGTGAACGCAGGAGTGCATGTTTCCTCTCAGTTAGTGTTTTTGTACTTTTAGGGTAAATACCCGCTAGTGTGATTACTGGATCATAGGGTAGTTTTATTTTTAATTTTTTGAGGAACCTCCATACTGTTTTCCAAAGTGGCTGCACCAGTTTGCATTCCCACCATTCCTACCAACAGTACAAAGAGGTTCCTTTTTCTCCACGTCCTTGCCAACACTTGTTTCTTGTGTTGATTTTAGCCATTCTGACAGGCGTCAGGTGATAGCTCACTGGGGTTTTGATCTGCATTTCCCCAATGATGAGTGACGTTGGGCATCTTCTCATGTGTCTGTTGGCCATCTGGATGTCTTCTTTAAAGAAATGTCTGTTCATCCCTTCTGCCCGTTTTATTAATTGGATTAATTTTTAAGAACTGATATTAAGAATTAATAGAATTCTTTAATTCTATTAATAATTGATAAGTAATTAATTAAGAAATGACGTTCTTATCTGAAGATGAAGAGCCTGAGGCTAAGACAGGAAAAGTAAGTTGCCTGGTGTCTTGCAGAGCATGTCCCTGACTCAGTGTGGTCCAGCCTCTGCTACTGAGGACTCAGGTCAGAAGCTGCCTCCCTGGGCTGGGGGATGCAGCCCCCCTCCGGGCCACTCCATGGTCTGTGCAAAAGTTACTCCAGGGCAAGTGGAATAGGGCAGATACTTTACCTGCGCCACAAGGAGCAAGTCGGCCCGGGCCATCAGCCCTTCTTGCCTGCACGGCGCTGCGGCCCTGTTCAAACAGTAAACCAGACTGCTGTATTTTCACTTCTTGAACTCCAAAGCCTTTGGGTAGCGCAGAGACGTTCCGACACCTAAATGTGAGGGAGAATGCACTCAGTTTCAGCATGGTCCTCTGGAAGACAGTGTCTACACCCGTGGACCACTTCACCGCCCCTGAGTCTCGGTGAGAGGGTGTGAAAGAACCGAATCACGATCTTACGAGCCATGTGGTCAGAGAAAGATCCCTTCCTATCTCTCTGAAGTGAAAATGATTAGCTGAGTCACCACCCCTCAGAGACTTTAGGGACACTAAACTCCAGTCCTGGTACTGGTTTTGAAAGACTGCAAACCCTCAAAGAGCAAGATTAACTTGTCAGTATCTCTTCCTAGGGAATCGTCCAAACACACCAGAAACCAAAGCTCTCCTGTAACAGACAAGCTTCGTTTTTCCTTCTTGGGTCTTTCACACCATCTAGAGGCTACCATGACGCTGCTCTGGAACTGAGCAGACTAGGGAAAGCACAGAAAACACTGAAAATGTCTTGGGCATAGTGCTTAAGAGTGCTTTTGTTGAAAACCTCATGCTGGGCTATAGTATACCATAGAATTCATCCATTCTCAGTGTACAATTTAAGGTTTTGTTTGTTTTTTACTATATTCACAGAATTGTGCCACTGTCACCATAATCTGAATTTATCATGTTTGACCCCTGATAAGAAACCCTGCACCCATCAGCGGTCATTCCCCATGCATTTTTCCAGCACCCACCAACCTACTTCTGGATTTGCCTATTTTGGACATTTCGCTCCATGAAATCATCCGCTACATGGCTCCTCTCACTCAGCACGGAGCTTTCAAGGCTCATCCGTGTGGTAGCTTGGGCCAGCCTTTGCTCCTTTTTGGGGCTGATGATCTAACAATCTATTACCTTTCGTTGATCTGTTCACCAGTTGATGCACATCTGGGCTGCTTCGTTTTGCGGCTGGTGTGACTTGTACCACTGTGAACGTTCATGTGTCGGTATTTACGTGGATGCATGTTTTCATTTTTCCTGGGTACACTCCCTGGGTGTGTTCCCTGGCCCTGGTCTCAGGAGCAGTACAGCTGACACCACAGGCCTCCCCCCAGCGGTGGCCTCTCCCTGCCTTCTTTTACCACAGCCTTAACTGGGCTTGGCCACGCTTCCTTAGGGAGACCACACTTGAGTGATCATCCTTTGTCTTTTATCTTTTTTCTTTTTTTTTTTAAAGATTTTATTTATTTATTTGACAGAGATCACAAGTAGGCAGAGAGGCAGGCAGAGAGAGGAGAAAGCAGACTTCCTGCTGAGCAGAGAGCCTGCTGTGGGGCTCGATCCCAGGACCCTGAGATCATGACTTGAGCCGAAGGCAGAGGCTTAACCCAGTGAGCCACCCAGGCGCCCCTGTCTTTTATCTTTTAAAGACGTTGATGGTTTTTAAAAATTAGAGTAGTAGTGGGGCGCCTGGGTGGCTCAGTGGTTAAAGCCTCTGCCTTCGGCTCAGGTCATGATCCCAGGGTCCTGGGATCGAGTCCCGCATTGGGCTCTCTGCTCAGCAGGGAGCCTGCCTCCTCCTCCTCTCTCTCTCTGCCTGCCTCTCTGCCTACTTGTGATCTGTCTGTCAAATAAATAAAAAAAAATCTTAAAAAAAAAAAAGAAAAGAAAAGAAAATTAGAGTAGCAATATATATGTACGGGGCAGAACAATGAGAAAACAGAGTAACCACAAAGAAGAAAAAAAAAAACACCCGTAATATCACAACTCAGAGATAATCATACTAATACCTTGGTGCATATCCTCCCATGATTTTTTTTACTATGTGCATATATACTTTACGACCAACACGAACTCATTGTATCTTTAAACTTGCTCTTTAAAAATTATGACCATCTCTTGCAACTACACTACTGATTTACCCCAAAATACAGATGTGGTAAAAGGAAGGGCCATCTGTACCCCAATGTTCATAGCAGCAATGTCCATAATCGCCAAACTGTAGAAAGAGCCCAGATGCCCTTCAACGGACAAATGGATAAGGAAGATGTAGTCCATATATACAATGGAGTATTATGCCTCCATTAGAAAGGATGAATACCCAACTTGTGTATCAGCATGGATGGGACTGGAGGAGATTATGCTGAGTGAAATAAGTCAAGCAGAGAGAGTCAATTATCATATGGTTTCACTTACTTGTGGAGCATAAGGAATAACAGGGAGAACATGGAGAGAAGGAGAGGAGAAGTGAGTTGGGGGAAATCGGAGGGGGAGATGAACCATGAGAGACTGTGGACTCTGAGAAACTGAGGGTTTTGGAGGGGAGGGGAGTGGGGGGTTGGGTGAGCCTGGGGGTGGGTATTACGGAGGGCACGTATTGCATGGAGCACTGGGTGTGGTACATAAACAATTAATCTTGGGGGGGGGGCGCCTGCGTGGCTCAGTAGGTTAAAGCTTCTGCCTTCGGCTCAGGTCATGATCCCAGGATCCTGGGATCGAGCCCCGCATCGGGCTCTTTGCTCAGCAGGGAGCCTGCTTCCTTCTCTCTCTCTGTCTGCCTACTTGTGACCTCTCTCTCTGTCAAATAAATAAATAAATAAATAAATCTTGGAACATTGAAATAATAAAATTAAAAAAAAATTATGAGCATCTTTCCAGGTCCAACAGTCGTCAATATTAGCTTTAAACCATTTCACTGGTTTCCTTTTCTTTTTTAAAAAACATGACTACACACAAAACTAAATGTCTGAGCACTTTCTTAATTACTTCTTAGGACAAATTCCCAGCAATAGACCCAATGGATCAAAACGTATGGGTATTTTAGTCTCTTCGGACATCTTCTGAGACCGCTTCTTGGAAAGGCTGTTCCAGCTGTACCCTCCCTCCCAGCTCACCTCCCGGTCAGAGCTCTGTGCATCGCCTCCTGGCTGTATGGGCACCTCCCAATCACCACAGCTGATACGTAGACGGGCTCTTCTAGAAGGTGCATCAACAGTGCCCCCTGGCATCCGAGGACGTTCCACCGGGCCAGCTTGTCACTGCAGGACAGGGAGCAAGTCCGGTCTCCCCGGCCAGGCTTCACTCGGAGCAGCCCCACCTGGTGATACGCAGCACCAGGCTGCCGTGAGTCTCCAGCTTCTCCGGGCACACACTTGGCTCCGGTTCTATAAACGTCCACCACTTTGACACCACCGGGGACCATTCTGGTGACAGGGGCCTGTTCCTGTGCAGTAAAATGAGAGCCGCTGACGTCTGGTGTGACTGGGCCACTTTCCTGATGGCCAAAACTCTGATGCTGAGCTACACTGTCAGGAGTCCCGGGCTCAAGCCTCATCTTTTTGGTCACAGGACTACCCAGGCCCTCACATCTCTCTGTGTCCTCAGGAGCTTCCAGGTCACCACTGGCTTCTGATGGCTTACTGGACCAGTCTCTACGGACAGGACAGCAGGGCTGATCTTCAAACTCGAGCATTGGAATGATGGAGGCATCCCCACCTGCAAGAGAAGAGACCGCTTAAAAACCAGTGTTTCTCAAAGTGCGGCCACAGGACCAGCCACATCAATGTCCCTAAGGAACTTGTTAGAAATGCCAATTCTCGGAAGCCACAGTCGACCTGCTAAGTCTGAAATTCTGGAGGTGGTCGCCTGCAGTGTGTATTTTAGCTCTCTGGGTCATTCTGATGACCGGAGAACCACTGTCTGAATCAAAGTCTAATTCTATTTTCCTAGCTGACCTGAGATTAGGAACACTTGCCCAAATTTCCCAAGTAAGAATCCTTCGTGGCTCTATCCTACCTAGACCCAGTGAGTTAGAAACTCTGGGGTGGGGGTGGGGGTGGGGGGTCTGGAAAGCAGAATACTTTAACAAAGATCCCAGGTAATGCTCATCACAGGAAGTTTTGGAAACACTAGCTTTGACCAGGGTTTGTCAACATTCATAATACCGATGTTTTGGGCCAGGTAATTCCTTTTGTGGGGGCTATCCTTTACATCATAGGATGGTTACCAGCTCCTCGGTCTCTACTTACTAGATACCAATAGCACCCCAAGTCTGGCCATCAAAAATGTCCCCAGATGTTGCTAAACGGCCTCTGAGAAGCAAAACTGTCCTGAGTTGAGAACCCTTGGTTTACAATGAGCACAGTTTCCCAAGTGTATTTTGTGGAATGTTATCCTGTAAGACGCTTTGGAAAACAAAAGTGGGAGGTTGGTTTCATGGTTAAATATTTGGCAAATATGTTCCCAAATTCCCCATCTTGGAGATTTACGTGCCTATCTTCACAGTAAAGGCTTTGCAGTGAATTACACAAGTGGTGTTTCCCTGTGCTGGGTTAGAGATTTCTGACTCAACTCTGTGCTTAAATAGAAACACAGAAAACCAGAGGTTAGCAAAAAGCACAGCGTCCCCGGAGAAGGGAGCTGCTTCTTCAAACACTAACCTAGTGTGTGTGGCTTTTCTAAAGTGTGTAAATAATACATCTGTAGCCTTTATAACCTAAGAGTGGGAAAGGCAAGAAATGTAGAACTGGGACTGTGGCCAGAGAGGCTGGCTGGCGGACTTCCAGAGACCTCACAAGGGGACAGTGACTTTGGAGAATTGACTCGGCCCACCTCCCACTCTGAAGGCTCGGAGATTTGATCCAGACAGATGCCTAAACTTGAGAGGCTGACTCATGCTAATAAAACTCACAAGTAAGAGTCTGAAATAGCTAATCCAGGCACCAAATTATCAATTAGTAATGAGGAATAAATGCAAAGGGAGACAGTTACATTCTCCAGGTAATATTCTTTCCTCCTGCAGACAAACCATGCATGGGCATCGCAGTACAAAAGATGACCTATTAGCCCAGGGTAGTTGGGTTGGTGGGTTTAGATTTTTATTTCACAGACCAGTAAAATTTCCAGAAGATTTTAAGATCAACAAAGGGGGTGGTCAATTTTGTATTCCATCAACTAAGGTCTTTAAAAATCCTAATTTTTAAATTTAAAAAAAAATTTTTTTTCCCCTAATTACCACTATTTAAAATAAAAAAATCAAAATCTCATAACCTTTTCATGGAAAGAAATTAGATTTTTTTTAAAAAAAGAACTTATTTATTTGACTTTTAAAAATTTTATTTATTTATTGGACAGAAAGAGAGAGACAGAGACAGCGAGAGAGGGGATATAAGCAGGGCATGTGGGAGAGGGAGAAGCAGGCTTCCCGCTGAGCAGGGAGCCTGATGTGGGGCTTGATCCCAGGACCCTGGGATCATGACCTGAGCCAAAGCCAGATGCTTAAGGACTGAGCCACCCAGGCGCTCCAGAAATTAAACTTTTTGAAAAACTCACTATAGTCCAGATTTTTCCCATCTGGCTATAGACCAGCCTGTGGACCACTGATCTATGTGGTCTGATTAGTGGGTGAGGCTAGCTGTGATCCACAGATGCATCTCTCTCCATCATAAGGCTACACCTACCATTGGGTCAGCCAAGCCCTAGCTACTCCAAGTGTGGTCCATAGGCGAACACCACTGACATCATGGGGACTTGGTTAGAAATGCCACCTGGGTGGCTCAGTGGGTTAAAGCCTCTGCCTTTGGCTCGGGTCATGATCCCAGGGTCCTGGGATCAGGCCCTGCATTGGGCTCTCTGCTCCGCGGAAGGCCTGTTTCCTCCTCTCTCTCTGCCTGCCTCTCTGCCTACTTGTGATCTCTGTCAAATAAATAAATAAAAAAATCTTAAAAAAAAAAGAAAAGAAAAAAAGAAATGCAGAACCTTAGGTTTCATCCCAGACCTAATGAATTTAAATCCACGTTTTATTAAGATCATTCATTTGCATTTTATAGTCTGAGATAGCACTGAGTTAAGAAACATCCTTTGGTTCTTGGACCAGGGTATCCAGGGCTAGTAAGAAAGCAGAGATGAGCCCTGCCTTTCTCTGTATGTCATTTTCTGGCCTTTGACTCAACCGATTCTTTTCTGAGACTCATCCTTCCTTAAGCTGTATTATATTTTGGATTTGAATTATGACAAGTCTTGACAGCTCTTCTGTCTCTTCAGAGCGAGTACCTATATCTGCTCTAATTGCATGTGTAGTTTTCAAGTTTAATACTTAGAGAACACTGTTAGAGCCCTCCTTCAAATGTTTTAGAGTGGGTGAAGTTTACTGCCATCCCTGAGCTGCTATCTAAAGAGAGCAGAAATTCTCCATTTTCAAAGTAAAAAAACCAGTGCTCTCCTCTAGGCTAAGTCTGGTCCTCCTGCTTGATGTAACCACAGCCCCTGAATGTCCCCATATAACTCGTCAAAATTTAACTTAACTGATCATGACTGTCTACACTCTATGAGGCTAAGCGAGGGACAAGTCTTACTCCCTGCTGTAGACCCAACGTCACATTTTACCTGACAAGTAGCAGAAAATAACTGTTGAAGGAGTGAATGAATGGAATGAGTTTCAGGATAAATTACTACAGAACTCAGGGCTTTGGACTTCTAAGCCCAACTGCTGGTTTCAGACCTTTGTGGGGTTTCCGCTTGAAGCTTCCCAATCCTGACTGGGAACCGAGAACCACAGTGTTGTTCCTTGACAGAGAAGTGGTCAGGCACCGTAGCCCGTTCAGAAAAAGGCAGTGTCCACTGTTTGCGGCTACACTGCAGCCAGAAAAGCTTTTCTGAGGAATACATCTAAGGATAAGAGGACATAAGGAAGTAGACAATGTAATAATGATCCAAAGGGTTGGCTATACTTACAGGGTGTATGGCTGGAGAAAAACACAAAGGAGAGGTCTGGCCTGAGTTTCCACAGCCCTCTCTGAGTTCCAGGGACAAAGATGCTATCCTCCTTCAAGGCAGCCGCCAAATAGAGCTGATGGAGAAGGTACCTAATTGGGGCACAAGGTGTGGCCAGAATGAACAACCAAACACGTTGGTGAAGTGTAAGACTGGCTGGTTGATGATTAAGTGAGAGTTACTGCAGACCGATGGGACTGGCAGTGATTTGGAATTTCGAGGATGATGCAGACCAGTGATTCTCAAAAATGTGGCCCCTGACCAGCAGCATCAGCATCATCTGGAATTTGTTAGAAATCCAGGTCCTGCCCCTGACCTGCTGAATCGGAATTTCCAGGGGAGGGCCCAACAATCTGAGTTTTCACAAACATAGGTAATTCTGATGCACACCAAGTATAAGGACCACGGTCTAGACCAGGGCTAATCAAAGTGCGGTTCACAGACCGACATCATCAGTGTTACTCGGGAGCTTATTAGAAATGCAAATTCTGGGGCTCCCCATGGCAGGCTAAGTCAGATTCTCTGGGGTTGTCCCTTTACCTTTGGAAACTCCTCCTGGCTATGACCTCAGCGTGGCTATCATTGAGGATGTCTCCTGTGGCAAAGACAGGACACTATTGAAGACACAGAGAACCAGAGGCCCTGTTTCCCTGCAATAGAACACAGCAGTTTCCCCAGCTACCAGGATGGCCATGGAGCTCCTGGAGGGCTCTGTCAGGAAGTACTGCGATCACTGACGGCAATACAGGGCCTCCTCAAATCAGTACTACTGACACGTTGGGTTAGAAAATTCTTTGTTGTGAGGCTCTGTCCTGTGGAAGGGAGGATGTTTAGTAGCATTCCTGGCCTCTAGCACCAGAGGCAGGTAGCATAGTAACACCCTCCCCTGACTTCTGGCAACTGAAAATGGAAAATGTCTCCAACCACTGCCAGAGATCCCCCAGGGGACAAAATCTCCCCATAGTTGAGAAGGACTAATTTACAGGAAAATAGATGGAGGAAAGGGGTCCAAATCTTTTGTGGCCTGATATCACACTTGAGCTTCTGGTGATACAATTCCATCAAATTCAATCCACAGTGGTCCAGGCACACAAGAGGCAAGGCTAGGAAAATGGGGAAAGCAAACCTGGGAAGGAATCTGCTAACTGGAAGCAGGAGGTGAAGATGCCAGATTTCCAAGGGATTTCCATATTCTTTTTGTTGTCCAAATCTCCATCAATTCGAGATTGCTTTGGGGGGGGCTTCAGACCTAATGGGGAGGAGCTGCTCCAGGGAAATTTTGGTTTGCGCAGGAAAATACCGGCCAACTTCCAATCTACGCAGAAAGCATGTTCCTGGCAGCCTTTGCTTCCACTGTTTATTCTGATTCTTAAATTGAGTTCTGACCTTCCCAGTGGAGTCACAGTGGGAAAGGAAAGGTCAGCCACCTCAGTGATGTGGCTCCTTTTAACAGGATGAGGAGAGGAAAGGACAAAATGCAAAGTGCTTTCCAACGCGCCCTGGATGAATGCTGTTCAGACCCCACCTGGGCTTACCGCTCTTCCTCATTTTGGACTGGCCTATACATTTCGTTCCTGTTCCCATTGAGACAACTTCCTTTGTCACTGAGAGGGAAAGAACGAATCATTAGGTGAGCTCCCATACTGTGAATGGTCCCCAGCCCTCAGGTTTCACGCATGCACACTCCTCACGGGCACTCCTATAGGGGGCCCAACCCAGGGCTGTGTTGCAGCACTGCAGGCTCCAACCACAAGTACTGCGCCCCCTGGTGGAGAGCAGGGGGAACATGCCCATTGCTGTGGCGGACGCCTGCCAGGACTATCCCTGCACAGCCATGAACAATTCTCCTACCATCTCTGATAGATAGTCAGGAGAGGGAGCGCTGGAAGGTGAAAAGGCCTCTCACCTTGTGCCGGTTTATTAGTGATGCCATGGGCCTGGTCAGCTGCAGGTTGTATCTTTACCACGGCTGCTAGTAATGTCCACTCACGGTTGGGGTCAGGCTTCCCCTGCTTGGGCAGTCTGGTCCTATAGTGCTCATAACACATCTGGGCAATCTCATCTGCAGTCCACATGGCCCACGTTAGTGCTGAGCCTGATCAAAAATCACAACCATCAGAAGAAGAGAAAAGAGAAGCAATGCAAGATGCTACAACTTGCCCAGGCGTTTCAATGGGCTTTCAGGGTAGCCTGACTGTGTTCATACCGAGGTTTCTCTATCTCGAACTCTAATGGGTCACTTTCTTCTACTACTTCCCTGTCCCCTCTCCACACCCCCCCCTTTTTTAAAGATTTTATTTATTTACTTGACCACAGAGAGATCACAAATAGGTAGAGAGGCAGGCAGGGAGAGGGGGCGAAGCAGGCTCCCTGCTGAGCAGAGAGGCCCATGCGGGGCTCGATCCCAGGACCCTGAGATCATGACCTGAGCCGAAGGCAGAGGCTTAACCCACTGAGCCACCCGGTGCACCCCGCCCCCCGGCCTTTTTTTTTTTTTTTTTTTTAAGATTTTATTTATTTACTTGACAGAGAGATCACAAGCAGGCAGAGAGGCAGACAGAGAGAGGAGGAAGCAGGCTCCCTGCTGAGCAGAGAGCCCGATGCGGGGCTCGATCCCAGGACTCTGAGATCATGACTTGAGCCGAAGGCATTGGCTTAACCCACTGAGCCACCCAGGCGCCCCTACCCCGGCCTTTTAAAAGCAGTCTTCATACCCAGCATGGAGCGCCACGCACAGTCTGAACTCACAATCCTGAGATCAAGACCTGAGCTGAGATCAAGAGTTGGAGGCTTAATCCACTAAGCCACCCAGGCACCCCTCCCCTTTTCATTTTAAGGAAAGATCAAAGAAGTCCCAGTTTCTTAAAGATGTTTCTTTTTAAAAGTTGGACATCTGACATGTATCTAATGAATCTCAACCTACTACTCAAAAATAAAAGTGCATGAGAGGGAAGTATCCTTGCTACTCCAATTTTCATTTGGAAGTAGAACGTCAGGTACTGCACACCTCCGCTGGATTCGGGCAGACTCTAACCATACAGGGTTTATCTTTCTGGGCAGATGTTCTTCTTTTACATCCTCTTTTCCGACTTTTTCCCTCTTCTCCGACTTCCTCCCAGCAGATTGACTCTTGATCTCCCTCTAATAAATCTCCGATGACCCCATCAAGAAAACAACACTTTAATTTCTCCCATAATGTTTTATGAGGCAGGTGGGAGAAATGACAAAGCCCAGAGCTTTCTCACCAGTCAACCATTCTCCTCACAGGAGTCTGTGCTGGAGTGTGGGCTTTGGAGTTACCCTTTCTGTATTCTAATCCCGACTTTGCTACCAACTGGGTGATACTGAGTAGATTACCTAACCTCTCTGTTTCTGTGTCTTTATCTGCTAAAACAGGGATCACAGTAGTATTTAATCTATGGGTTATTGTGAGGATTAAGTAATATTTATAAAAAGCTACTGCTACAATGTTAAGCATAATTACTGTCAACTGTGATTAATGTTTCAAAAAGGAACATTTCATGTTCCTGATTGTCTTGAGCCCCCTGGGCTGCAAAGGCAATGTAAAGCCATGAATAAAAAACCATTAAGCATATCAGACCAGAGAGGCTACTTTGCTAGAAACCTGTCTACTCTTGACTCTGTGCTCACTCAATAATTTCATTTGGACTCAAATGTACGAAAAGCTTCTTAGCAGAAAATGAGATCATATGGTGATGGATACAGCTAAGCATTTAAAAAAAAAAAAAAAAAGAAAGAAAGGCACTGGGGTGCCTGGGTGGCTCAGAGGGTTAAGCCTCTGCCTTTGGCTTGGGTCATGATCTCAGGGTCCTGGGATCGAGCCCTGCATCGGGCTCTCTGCTTAGCAGGGAGCCTACTTTCCCCTCTCTCTCTGCCTGCCTCTCTGCCTACTTGTGATCTCTCTTTCTGTGTCAAATGGATGAATAAAATCTTAAAAAAAAAAAAAAAAAAAACGAGGGGCGCCTGGGTGGCTCAGTGGGTTAAAGCCTCTGCCTTCGGCTCAGGTCATGATCCCAGGGTCCTGGGATCGAGCCCAGCATCTGGCTCTCTGCTCAGCGGGGAGCCTGCTTTCCCTTCTCTCTCTCTGTCTGCCTCTCTGCCTACTTGTGATCTCTGTCTGTCAAATAAATAAATAAAATCTTAAAAAAAAAAAAAAAGACATTACTGAGTCCCATTGCATGCAGCTTCTGAAAACTGCTATTTCTACAATAAGCTCCCAGCACGGAGTTAAATTAATTAAACAAGAACGCCATTAATGATGTGCTATGGTGGCCTATAAAGCAAACCATGATCTAAGTCTGTACATGCCTGTAGGTTACAAAAGCAAAACGGTAAGGATAACTAGTCACAAACAGCCAGACCCAGGCTTAAACTTTCGCCAACCACCCAATTTCCCTTCTTGCTGTACTCTTTGGAAGTCTCTTCCCTAGCTCTGATCTGCAATGTTCCTAACCACTTTCAGTTTGGTGCTGCCTAACTGGAATTGATTTTTACCCCAAAAAAGGCTCTTAAAATTTTTAATATGCTTCCATTTATCTTGTAAGAGTTCTAATGTGGAGCCTGCTGCTGCAATAAATGGTCATGGTAAATCAAGCCACAGTGATTGAAAACCAGAATCTGCCAGGAAATGACATAAATTGTGACTTGAAAGTCAGAGAACCAGGGGCGCCTGAGTGGCTCAGTGGGTTAAGCCTCTGCTTTCAGCTCGGATCTCAGGGGTCCAGAATCGGGCTCTCTGCTCGGCAGGGAGCCTGCTTCCTCCTCTCTCTTTGCCTGCCTCTCTGCCTACTTGTGATCTCTCTCTCTCTCTGTCAAAAAATAAAATAAAATAAAGTCAGAAAACCAGCAGGCCATGTATCTCTCCAGGCAAAAGAAAAGTATGGGGTGGGGGGAGGGAAGAAAAAAAAAGAAAAGTATGGGAGATCCTAGAATCCTCTATTTGGAAGGGATTTCCCCCCCTCATTTTGGGATTGGGTGGGGGAGAGCGGGCATCTCAAGGCATCAACGAGATATTAAACCAGAGGCACATACCACGAACCATAGTAGCCAGGGAAGACAGAACTTGCCAGAAGTACCACTGACTCCCTAAGATGATGCAGCCCGGAACTCTTCCATCCTCTCATTCACGTAATTGTCTGGGTGAGCGTGCACGGTAGCTGAAATGAATCCATGTTTTGCTAAACTAGGTCCACTAAAATCCAAACTCCAAATCCACTCTCTTTTAGGTCTTGAGTAACGTCCTATGAAACAACAGCTCAGTTAAACAGGCAGGTCTTTGCCCACAAGATCGCATGTGGCAACACGCACAAAAAGCCCAAGAACCCACTCCCTTTTCAAAGTAAGGTGAAGGCAGCTCAGCTGCCACGGAGAAAAGGCTTTGGCTGTAATCCCCTCTCCTCAGTAACCCCGACCGCAGCCCCTCCTCGGCAGGCTCTAGAGCCGGAGTGGGGCCCATTCGGCCAGAGAAGCTCTGGGCCCGTGAAACAGCGACAACCTGCGCGCCCACCTCCTCGGAAGGCGCGCAAGCTGCTGCGAGGCCACCCGCACCACGCCCGCCCGCCGCGAATACCGGCGCTTCCGGGAAACGGGACGCGCGCCCGGGGAAGCACGGTCCATGCCACCACTTCACACACAAAACCGGCTCGGGAAGGCAGACCGAAGGCAGCTCCCCCAGCAGCCTTGGTGGAGGGGGTCCCCCACACTGGCGCGCCCATGGCCCCGCCACCCCGCCACCTGCCGGACGCTCCCCTCGAACCTCCAAGGTACGCGCCCTGAGGGACAGCGAAGAGAATCGCGGGACGTAGTGGACGTAACTTCCCAAGGAGGCCGCTCTTTCAGGCCCCGCCCCCAAGGGCGCGCTGTGCACTCTGGCCCTTGTAGTCCTTCTCGGTTGGAGCCCCGCGCGTTGGAGTGTGAAATGGCCCAACGGAAGCTGGTAAGATGGTTCAAATAGTAGAATGATGTCGTATCTTGAAACACTAGTCTGAATTTCTGTCTAAATCGGTAAGGTCCTGCAGAAATATACGATGAGCCACAAAATGCAATTTAAAATTTTCTATAGCTACATTTTAAAAAGTCAAAAGAAACAGGTGAAATTACAATTAATTTTTGTATATATGTATATATTTTATTTAGCCCAGTGTGTCCAAAGTCTTGTCATTTCAGCGTGTAGCCAATATTAAAAAAAAAAAAAACTGAGATATTTTACATTTATTTTTCATACTTTAGAAATCTGGTATGTGTTTTACACTTAAAATGCCTCTCAATGTGGACCGGCCACATTTCAGATCCTCAACAGCCACACGTGGCTAGTGGCTGCTCTAATGGATAGCCTGGGTCTAAAACCGTCAGGTTGCCAGGAATAGTAGCATACCTTGTCTGGATGATTCAGGAGCCCGTGCCATCCAGCAATTGTATACCTCAGTTCCTAAAGGTGAGAGAATACAGTTTTCTTCTTGGTAAACTTCAAAAGTTAGAGGAGACAGGAGTGCAACTTACTTGACCCCATTCTTCTCTCCAGTTCAGGGGAAAAGGGCCACAGACCTCCTCGAAGGCTAAGGACCCTGCTCATTATCCCTTTCTAACATCTTTAACCTGCAACTGCCTCCCTCTTCTGCCTTTAAAGAGGCACTGATCCTGGCGGTGGGTGGGGTGGGAGGTCATCAATCTCAGGAATCGGTACCATCAGTGTAGTCAAATACACTGTAAAGTGAGTCACTCTCCTTGTCATTTTCCTTCCTGTAACCCCCACGATGTAATCCACTGCCAAGTCCTGTTCGTAACTTCTTGTCTTTTGAATATATCCATTTCTGTCCATTTCCATGGCAATAGCCCAGTCTGTCTTCCCCTTGGATTGCTGTACTAACCTCTAGACTTAGACCTTTCTTTGCCCAACTCCAATTCTTTTTCACAGAGCAGCCAGACTGCTGTTTTTAAAACACAAATGTGATGTCACTGCTTAAATACTTTAGTGGCTTTCCAGGACTCTCAAAATACAAAATCCCATAGCAAGGCTCAGAGATTACTCAAAATCCCATAATAGGGCTCATACCCCTGTATGACCAACTTCTTCCTGCCTCATCGGGTGGCATGTCTTATGGGCTCTCTCTAGTGTCATTGGCCTTTTCTATGCTCTTTCCTACCTCAGGGCCTTTATGCTTGTTGCTACACCATGGAAAACCCTCTCCTTTGACTAGTTAATGCTCCATTTTCTTTCAGATCTCAGATTCTGATATCCTTGGGGAAACCTTCCTTAACTGAGTCTGTTAGAGTTTCTCAATACCGCATGGATCTCTCCTTCAAAGCATTTATTAGAACTGCCATTCTACACAGTTGAAAAATGATTTAATAAATGTCTGTTTTCCATACAATTCTAGAAGCTTGATAAAACTGGAGACCATGCCTTTGTTTTCGCTCCAGTATAACAGTTAGCAAATTGTGAGCTTCAACTGTTGAAGGAGGTAATGAGGACTTTATAATTGCAATCCTTCTGTTCCTTCTGGCTTTCATCCGGTTTGTCATTTTTCCCTGTCACACCCCACAAACATGTTGTCTACTGCTTCAGTTCATCTGTCTCCAGCCTTTTTTTTTTTTTTAGATTATTTATTTATTTATTTGACAGACAGATCACAAGTAGGCAGAGAGGCAGGCAGAGACAGGAGGAGGAGGCAGGCTCCCCACTGAGCAGAGAGCCCGACACGGGACTCGATCCCAGGACCCTGAGATCACGACCCGAGCCGAAGGCAGAGGCTTTAACCACTGAGCCACCCAGGCGCCCCAAGTCTCCAGCCTTTTTGAGGACAGACAGCTGGCGTCTGCACCCAGACTACTACTAAACAACTCTGTTTTGTTTTTTTTTTTAAGATTTATTTATTTGAGAGAGAGAAAGCAAGCACAAGTAGGAGGGGCAGAAGGAGAGGGAAAGAGTCTCCAGCAGACTCTCCACTGAGTGTGAGCCTGAAGTGGGGCTTGATCCCGCAATCCTGAGATCATGACCTGAGCAGACACCAAGAGTCAGATGCTCAACCGACTGCCCCAACCAGGCGCCCCTAAACAGCTCTTCTAAGGTCACTCGGGACCTTGATGGTCCTTGTTGCCTTTTCCAGTGGTAGCGTGGCTTGCAGTCCAGTAACATATCTTGAACCTATGCCGTCTCCTTTGGGGAGGTGGTTTTCATTTTAATTGAATACTGTCTTGTGTAGGATGTGCCATCTGGAAGTGTTTCTTCTGAAATGCCACCTGATCATCCACCACCACTGCCAAGTGCTCCCAGAGCCTGTGTTTAAATGCCAGCGAGGGGTGGAGGTGCTCAACACTGAGCTTAATTCCCAGCGAGGGGATTCTGTGTGCTCAGATCAGTGTACCAGCTATAGAAGTGACACCCTGCTGTCAAAGTAGACTCCTTGGGACGCTTGCAGGTTTTGCTGAGATGAGAAAGACAAGTTGTTCAAGGTAGGACTCACCTATAGTTTCCCCCAGCTGCCTCACGTGTTGGGGCTGGGGGCTCCATTTTAACAGCAGGCCCCGGCCGTACCCTTGTCTCATTCCTAGCCCAGCTGAAATGAGCCGAAGGTAATGAGAAAAGTCCAGACTTAACGTTCATCATACTTACTGTTCCTACCGGACATTAAATGAGGTCTGAAACCCAATGCTCATTCTTTCCTCTGAAATTGCACTTCCTGTTTGTCCCATTTCAGTAAATGACAACTCTTCAGTTGTTCAGGTCCCAAACTGTAAAATCCCCAAACTGTAAAATCATTTTTTTAAAAAAAGATTTTACTTATTTATTCGACAGAGAGAAAGAGATCACAAGTAGGCAGAGAGGCAGGCGGGGGGTGGGGAAGCAGGCTCCCCACTGAGCAGAGAGCCCGATATGGGCCTCGATCCCAGGACGCTGAGATCATGACCCGAGCCAAAGACAGAGGCTTAACGCACTGAGCCACCCAGGAGCCCCTAAAATCATATTTTTGAATTCTTTTTCTTACAACCCAAGTCCCCTCACCAAATTCTACGAACCTCAGGACCAGGCGGAGTCCAGTGACATGTAACCAACTCCATCACTTCAAACCATCAGCCACCGTCTCCCTCTAACTCTTGCCCTCCCTGTGCTAACTATAGCAGTATTTTCAAAGCACTCTGCCAGAAACCCTCCAATGGCTACTCATGTCACGCATAATAAAACACACGCTCCTCAGCATGGCTTACAGCGGCCTGCGTGATCTGGCCCCTTACGGCCTTTGCTTACTCCTCTCCAGCCACACCAGACGCTTTGCTGTTCGTCAAAAACAGTCCTCTGGGCGCCCGGTTGGCTCAGTTGGTAGAGCACACAACTCTTATTCTCAGGTAGAGTTTGAGCCTCACGTTGGGTGTAGAGATTACTTAAAAATGTTACCTAGCGGCGCCTGGGTGGCTCAGTCATTAAAGCCTCTGCCTTTGGCTCAAGTCATGGTCCCGGGGTCCTGGGACTGAGCCCTGCATCGGGCTCCCTGCTTGGTGGGGAGCCTGTTTCTCTCTCCCACTGCCCCTGCTGGTGTTCCCTCTCTCACTGTGTCTCTGTCAAATGAATAAATAAAATCTTCAAAAAAGAAAAAAAAAAAAGTCATCTAAAAGTTTTCCCTGATTATATATTTAAAATAGCACTGTCCCCCAACCACCTCCTTCTAGAATAGCACTTCTGTCCCCTGACCTGTTTTTTTTCTTAGTATGTACCAGAAATGTGTATTTACTTGTTTCTTGTCTAGTTGCCCTCAACCCCTAAATGAATACAAGTTCCACAAAAGTAGGAACTTGGCTTTTGCTCACTGCCGTCTCCAACCCCTAAGCACAATGCCTGACACAGAGCAGACATGAATACAAAATTGTTGAATGAATGAAGTGGTATAATATTAAACATCCACTAGGCCAGCTGTCTGAGTAAAAGTTGACATTCTACAGAAAACATAGTCATGAGACGCAAGTAGAGACAAATGGTTTATTTGGGAACAAGAAGTAAAAAGGAATTTTTAATTCCTCTTCTCTCTTTTGGTGGCAGAACCGAACTGTGATTGTTAAATGGAGAGCAACACACAAGAATTCCCCCGTAGTCCTTGACTGAGTTATATGACTTGCCTGAGGCCTGACTTATATGACTTGCCGTCGTTTTCTAGACAGAAGTGCCAGCTGTTGTGTTTTCTGACGTATCAGTGGTGGCCCCACTCTCTTTCTTGTCTTCGGGTTTCATGGCAGGAAAGAGAAGTACTTCCTACAGGAGAGAAAGTGCATTCTGAAGGAAGCAGCATGCTCTTTTTCACAGCTGTCCACTCATTCCTTTTGCTTCTGCTTACCGTGGCCCAAATCCAGAGATCTCAGCTTTTACTTCAACTTAGTCCCTCTCAAATACAGGGGATGGAAAAGAATGCGTGAACACAGAGGTTCTCTGACAGTAGAATTTCCCTGTCTGTAACAATGGGAGTAACAGTTTCTGTGCCTCCCTCATAGGGCGACTTAAATTACATGAGATAATGCACGGAGAGGGCTTAGTGTGTTCCTGGGATCCTCAAGAAATGCAAACGAC